GGGTAAGTGGGAACCTCTGGTTAACTGCTTACACACACCATAAAATACACATCTTTGTATCACTTATGGCTCTGTGTGCTGAGCTACCCACTGAGACCTCACAGGAGCATACACTCCTGCAACTCTGCCACCACCCAGGCTGTTAGCGCCAGATGACATGCCGTGACCCCCATCACTTCTGAGCCATCCCTGACAGTCATTACTCTGCACAGAGTCATACACCTGTGGCAATATTACACTTTTTTTGACACTGAAAATTTGTCATTTCTTTCCCCTTTCTTTTCTTATGTTTCAAGGTGTCAATGTGCCCTTTGGTGGTTGTCTATCATATCCATTCCAACTCCACCCAACTGTCAGGGACAGCTCTGAAAGTGGTGAAGTCCCAGCATAGCACCTGGTGCTGGGGGCTTGATGGGACAAGAAGTGGCTGTGCATAGCAGTGGTCCCATTGCAGGGTGAGCATCCCCAACCACTTAGTCTGAAGTGTGTCAGGGGACGTGCATGCTTGCACAGGTTGCTCCAATAACCTAGTTGTGATTAAAGCCTGGGGAAAGGAATGTCCCCATCTTAGAGTCAGCTATATACATGTAGAGTCTGGCAATAAGGAAACCAAACAGATCACTGATAGAATCACATGACCATAGAATGTTCCAGAACAATGCCGGAGATGATCTGGGCTACTGGGGCTTAGGTAATCGGAGTAGACGGGAATTGCCGGCATACTTCCCATGTGCATATGTGCAGCTGGCATAGGGTCCAGGGTCATCACTGATCCCTGACAAAGTGAGAAGGCTACTTCTTCGGTTCCCACTCCAGCTGTTATTATATACATGCAGAATTGGTCATGTGGGACATGCCACATCATCCTCACACACAGCTGTGGCTCTCTGGGTGTCTCCACAGGAGATCCTGAGGGGGTCCACTGTGGGCATGAGGTGAGCATGGCAGCAGTGACAGTGGTGTAAGGGTTGTGGGTACAGGAGGGGCATGTGTGTCAGGGCACACCCGCACACCTGGCTCCACCTGGTGCCCCTTCCCCTCTTCCTGCCTTCTCTTCTTTTCTTTCTTTCCTTTGTTTCTTCCCTTTCCTTTATTTCATTCTTCCCATCACTCTCTTCCTGTTTATTCCTTCTATTTACATGGACCACTTTCCCTTGTATCATTGTACTGTTAACCTGTCTGGCCCAGACACCCCAGATGGCTTCCCGCTGTGCCCAGCACACGCACCTGCAGTGGATGCTCTCTGCTCTCAGGATCCCCCATGGGGACACCCAGATGGCTGCAGCTGTCTCTGAGGATGTCATGGCACCTGTCATGTGACCCAAGCCACATGTACATAAATGTACCTGAAGTGGGAACCAAAGAAGTAACCTTCTTCTCACCTTTTCCACTTCAGTCTAAGTGGCCAGGGACAGCTGTCCCACATCGAGCCTGCCAGTATGCTGTAGGAGAAATAACGGTCACCCTATGAAAACTCATTATGGAAATATGCCAGATAAATCACAAAAACCCCATACAACAAGTAGATATGAGAAAATAGAAGAACCTGAATTTTAACAAATTATTATGACTCCATATGATAAATTGGAAGAAAGGAAATTAGTAAAAATACTTCAAGCTTAGCACCAACAAGACGGAATGCTTGGGGGAATTTATAGCAAATATTAAACAAAGAACTAGGACAATCGAGCAAGATTTGACTATAAAACCAACCAGAGAACCTCCATGGAAACTACTTTCCCACACCTGCACACGTAGCTGAGGCTGGAAGTACCACAGAACAAGGATTCCTTAGGAACCAATGCAAAATTCAAAGTCGTGTTTATGATAGGGAATGTAGATGTCTCCCAAACGGACCCAATGAAAGTAATTTCAGGGAAAACTACCCATGAACAACGGTGATATGACCGAAACTCTTGGAAAATGAGGACAACATTTAAAAGGCAAGTGCAAGGAACAAGCAGTAACGACCGAGACGAGCTTGATAGCCCATTAGAAAGGAAGGGATCTAATATTAATCCACCCAAATTTTCACAATAAAAGGTTCATGCATCAATGAGATATTCAATAACGGGATAAGTGACATCAAAGTCATGGCTCAGGGAAAAGACAACGATCACGCAAGATCTATATTTAAAACACACAACGAAATTCACATTGAAATTATGATAAATTGGAAACTATAGTTATGCAAAGTTTCAGCCCAAACGGTCCAGCCGTTGTGAAGTTACACCAACAACGGGAATATAGAAATCCGCATCATGCTGAAAGACATGTGAGGGTGGCAATGCAAAAGGAACTGGGTGTCAGAACTGAGATCCACGCTTTGGCAGATTGCAAAGACCAATTTCTGTCCAAATAAGGAAGACCCCAGTCAAAACAAAGCATGGAGAGTACAAAAACACCTTAGAACATGAGGGAAAAATCTGAAATAAATCATGGAAGCCTGTATTGAGGATACAAACACCCGCGCATACAATAAATTTCGAACAATTAAACAGAAACAGTGCCTGCATACGAATGAGTATGGGAACAACACACATGATTACCGAATGTGCACACAAACTCTTGCTAACTCAATGAATACCGTAGAAAATAGAGTACAACTTTAGTACCATTGGAAAGGTGGGGATAAATGAAGATTTATGATGCTGAGGATGTGAAAAACCATTCAGAAATGAATGAGATACAAGGACATGAAGTTAGAAACCTGAAAATGCACAGGAAGACAGCTTCTAGAGGTCCAGAGCCCCAAATAAAATACATAGAAATATGATATCTTCGAGGACAACCTATTATAACAACGAACAATACATATGAAGGACTAGGATGCAATAATACAAAGGAGAATCAGGGGAGATGGACAAAATCCACAAAAACCACTAATGAAGCAGAGAGCTATAACACATTCGTTTGAACAATTCTTGACTACTAGCCACTTTTTCTTTTGGTTCTAAACCTGAATATTCACTCATTTATCATTTCAAGTCTCATTTCAACTAAATGTTACTGGATAAAAATAGAATAAATCAGCTGAAGGTCTCAGCACAGCCATACGCATAGTAATGCGAAGTTTGAATTCAGAATGACTGAGTCATAGTGAACTTAATGGTAAATATGAGGAATTTGAAATAGAAAACTGCGACAAATGCAGCGCAGTCAAGTTCTAATTGAACCATTAAAATAGCTTAGGTGAGGAAGGACAATAAGGATTCTAGGCGCAGTCTGACTGCAGTAGAGCCGCAGTTCAGCACAGCTGAGCGCAGTAGAACTATAGTGTGAAAAATTCATTTTTATTCAGTTTGAGGAAAATACACTGTAAATAAATCCTGTAAATACGAGGTAGAGCATGAAAAAGGAAGGCGACCCAAGGAGTATAAAAGGGAGACCCTTTCTGCGACTTTTTGCCCCCCTCAAAGAAGTAAGAAAACAGAGTATTATTTTTCTCAAGCATTTCTGGTTGTCACTCCAGTGCGAAAAAGTGATATACAGTTAAAATTGCCATTGTAGTAAAAGGCAGCAATTAGGGAGAGGAATATGAAGTAAATATTTCAACAGGAGAGCTGGTTAACACTCCAGATTTCAAAGTGTAAACACAAAACAGTTATTTTGCTACTGTTAAAACAAGCAATAAAAATAAGACAAAAATAAGACAAGGTCAAGGGACACTTCGGACACGATCTAAACCCATTAACTGAGTAGAATCTTTGAAAATTCACCAAGTAGAAGATTTAATTCAAGTTAAAATCCAAATTAAACAACCCTACGACAGAATTACACCCAGACAAATTGAGAAATTACACTAGAGGAACAGCTCCATAGGGCTTTGTTTATCTGTAAGTCAATTCTCAGAAACTTTTAGACTAACCCATAAAATAGAATTAGCCAAAACACTCGGATTGGTACTATAATTACAACAAATATTACTAGTACACTTCCCCATCCTAACTAGAGTACCAGGGAACAGCTTGGTGGTGGTCTCGTTTGAACCTCCCAACTGACCTTCCTTCGTTCTCTCCTTCAACATACATATATCCATACAGCAAACATACAATTTGTGAAAAGGGTCCGAAATATATGGGTTTGGCTGAGCTAAGCCTCCACCAACAATGGTGGTAAGGTTCGGCTGCCATTGGCTTAGAATAAAATTCCAAACAACAAAAGAAATTGAACGTCAAACCTCTGTCCCCTTATTCCATCCGACTCTCCTTATCCATAGCTTTCTAACGATACCGATTTTGTGAAATTTGGTGGAGATTTGACCGAGAATGGGAATTCTCAGAAGCGGTATACATATCTCAATTATCCATGCACAGGGAAACTTGGTCCCAATAAAATGCCATAATTCCAAGACTCCTCCAATGACTTCTTCAGCATTTATATTATTTGACTAGCCCATATTTTCATTGAGACTAGCTCGCATGTGAGCATCCAAACAGTTCATATCGTCCTGTGACTCCCATCATGCGCAACAATCAGAATATCTCCACAACCACTGAACCGATTAGGGTGAAATTCAACACTGAGTATTTGGGCATTTTTTTCGATTTAATGACCCCAAGATTGTCCTCTTCCGTCAGCTTTTGACCTTGTTCTCATGGTCGTGGTCAAGTGCACGGACTTTGCTCATGAGGACATCTCAGGTCGAATTTCTCCACCAAATCTCAACCAATTCCTTCGCGAAAAGCCTCTTTCGGTTTGTACGAAAAGCCTCTTTCTTCTTTTTTATTACTCCCTCCTACAATTCCTTTTTCCTAATAATGTACAAGGGTGGGAGCCCAATTTTGACGTATTTGCTGTGTAAGGTTCCATGATATTGAGCACACCCATTATGTACTCCTACATACAGGCCTAGCTCTTCATCGTGGTCCCTCACGATATCACAAATTCCACATTCCGAATACTACACTTCCTAATACAGCATTGCCCTCCCATAAATATATCCCAGTTGCAATGAATTCCCTATTTGTACAAATCCATTAAGATCTCAGACTCTTCAGCTAAGCCTTCACCCTCTTCCTCTTCCTGAGGTTAGGCGACTTTTTGGCTTCCTGATCTTTCAAAACAAGTTTCTTCTTCTTCAGCACAGGCACCTTGGAAGTAGAAGCTTCCTCAGATACCAAATCCGTTAACTCGGATTCCTCGACTTCCTCATGTGCCAATGTGCCTTGAGCTGCTACTCTCTCCTTAAGCTCTGCCCTTATTTTCTCCTGCTCCTCAACCATTTTTTCCAACTTCTTCTTGAATTCCCCTTTAACCAGAGTTGCTGATCCCATTTCCCTTTCCTTCTGTTCCATCTGTAATGTATGGTCTGTGTAATGCGTCATACAGGGCGACCTTGGTAAGGGCACTGTAGGAGTGCATAATGGGTGTGCTCAAATTCATGGAACCTTACGCAGCAAATACGTCAAAATTGGGCTCCCGCCCTTGTACATTATTAGGAAGAAAGAATGATGGAGGGGAGTAATAAAAAAGAAGAAAGAGGGTTTTCGTACGAACCGAATGAGCCTTTCCGCCAAGGAATTGGTTGATATTTGGTGGTGAAATTCAACCTGAGATGTCCTCATGAGCAAAGTCCGTGCACTTGACCACGACCATGAGAACAAGGTCAAAAGCTGACAGAAGAGGACAATCTTGGGGTCATTAAATCGAGAAAAATGCCCAAATACTCAGTGTTGAATTTCACCCTAATCGGTTCAGTGGTTGTGGAGATATTCTGATTATCAGGCATGATGGGAGTCACGGGACAATATGAACTATGTGGAAGCTCACATGCAAGCTAGTCTCAGTGAAATTCCAGGAGAATATGGGCTAGTTAAATGATACAAATGCTAAAGAAGACATTGGAGTCTTGGAATTGTGGCATATTATTCGGCCCAAGTTTCCCTGTGCACAGATAATCAAGATATATATTCCGTTTCTGAGAATTCCTGTTCTCAGTCAAATCTCCACCAGACTTCACAAAATCGGTATCGATAGAAAGCTATGGATGAGGAGAGGAGAGTGGGATAAAGGGACGGAGGTTTGATTCAGTGTTTGGAGTGGTATGAGGAAGTTTGTGTTTTTCTTTTCAATTTCCTTTGTTGTTTGGAATTTTATCCTAAGCCAACGGCAGCCGGACCTTACCGCCGTTGTTGGTGGAGGCTTAGCTCAGCCAAACCCATATATTTCGGACTCTTTTCACAGATTGTATGTTTGCTGTATGGGTATATGTACATAGCAATTGAAACAGATCAGAGATTTTCCCCCTCCCGCTATTTTTGAAGTCCATGTACTTGGGTGCTGTGAGTGGCCACACGATTGGTAAAGGGCTATCATGACCTTTAGGAAAATCCACCACGGAAAGAAGATAAGCAATAGTTATCAGAGTTATATATATTTCCTCAAAATCCCCCCCCCCTCCCGTTGATTATACGGACCTGTTCATACTGCAACACCCCTTTTAGCCCCCTTTCTCTTTCTTCCCTAGCTTTTGGGGAGTGGAGTGCTACCTTCCATTTTCTGGAGACAGTAGCAGATTCCCGCTTGCAGTGCCAGCTCCCCCCAAGCGTCCCAGAATGCTTGAGAATTCCCAATGAAATTTTTAATTCTTTGGTCCGTGGAAGCATACCTCTCCAAGAACCTGTTCTTCATAGCATGAACGCATTTGGAGACGACAAGGTAATAATCATCATCCAAAATCAAGTTCTCATGGGTGGCCCTAAACATCACTTCCGTTGCTCTTGCTGCATCCGCTGCTTTCTCTTCACAGACCCTTGCTTCATGTCAGGGCACACCCGCCTGACCCGGGTCCACCCAGACCCACCTGGCCACACCTCACCTGCTAACCCGCTGTCCATCCCTCTCCTTCCTCCCTCCTCCCTTGTTCCCTCTTTCTTCTCTCTCTCTCTTCTCCTTGGTTTATCTCATTCTTCCCATCTTTCTCTTCCTGTTTATTCCGTCTATCTACACGGACCACTTTCCTTTGTATCAATGTACTATTGACCCATCTGTCCCAGACACCCTGGACAGCTTCCTGCTGTGCCCAGCATGTGTGCACGCAGCGGACACTCTCGGGGTCCCCCATGGGGGTACCCAGATGGCCGCAGCTGTCTCCAAGGATGACGTGGCACCCATCATGTGACTCAAGCTGCATGTACATAAATGCACCTGAAGTGGGAACCGAAGAAGTAACCTTCTTCTCACATTCTCCACTTCAGTCTGAGTGGCCAGGGACTGCTGTCCCTTTCCGGACCTGCCAGTACGCATGCCCGGTTTGCACCCCAGGAGGGCCCTTCTGCCGGGCGATACATCCGGACCCCCTTGAGGAAATTTGTATCCGGTGTGACTACTGGACTTATCCGGAGCTCCAAATTCTTATGACGTAAACCAGCGTGACTGGACAAATGACATAAAATGGACAAGCCTGGTATCGAACCCAGGACTTCTAGTGTGCATCCATACACTACTCGCCCGTTATGCCAGGGGGGGGTACCCCTTCCCTGATGGTTTGGGAGATCACTTGATCCCTTCCTCCAACACCCCTCTAGCCCAGACACGTCCCTGACAGCAGAAGAAGGTTTCAACCTCGTCTCCCCCGCCTCCCCCATCTCCCCTGCCTCCCCAGCCATGGTGTCAGAAGAGCAGTATGAAGAGCTGCTGGCTCGCTTTCAAGAGCTCCAAGCCATTGTGGAGAGCCAGGCCCGCAACCACCCCCCACCCGCATCTGCACCAGCACCCGCACCTGCACCCACACCCACACCCAAACCACCTAAGGTCGCCCCCCCACTCCCTTCTCAGGAGCTAGCAAGGACCTTGACCGTTTTAAGGCCGAGTGCGGAATCTATTTTCATGTTCACATGGCTGAGTTCCCCACCACCCTCTCCCAGATCCTTTTCGTGTTGTCTTACATGAAAGGAGGACCTGCAGGGGCATGGGCCACGCAATGCACGATCATGCTGCTGACGGCTGGCTCCCCCTCCCTCACCACGAGTTCAACACAGAACTCAACACCATGTTCCAGGACCCAAACCGGGAGGCCACAGCCAGACAGAAGCTGGCAGCCATCCACCAAGGGAGCGACTCTGTGGATAAAGTAATCCAAGAGTTCGAGATATTGGGACCCGCCTTGAGGCTGGGCGACGTAGGACTAGTCAACCGTTTTGAGCAGGTGATTAACTCCCACCTCCAGGAGAGCATATACCGGCTCCGTCCCATGCCCACTACTTGGGCCGAGTGGAAGTGCAAAGCCACGCTCCTGGATAACCAGTGGCAACGATTCCAGGCCACTCAACCGCGCATGTTCCCACCCAAACCTACACTCCCACCAACTCGACCCCTGTCGATCATGACCCCACCTCACACATGACCCATGCCTGGGCCCCCACGACTCGCACCAGTGCCTCCACCTTCCACCCCAGCAGCCCGCCCCACGACAGGGACGGGCCCACAACCAATGGACCTCGACTGCTCAAGGACTGACCAGAGATGGTGCTACAACTGTAACACCCAGGGGCACATCCTATGAGACTGCCTGCACCCCAAAGTCCGCCGGGCATGACGCCTCCACCCTGAGGACCTTCGAGCGTTGATGGAAGGGCTGAAGAGGCAGCTGACTGAGGAGCCAGAGACGGAGGGGACAGAGCTGGAGACAGAGGCTCAGGGGGATTTTCAGGAAGGTGACTGGTGAGGGATGCATCCCAGCCACCCATAGAAGATAGCTCGTGTAAATACTGCAGCACATGTGAGTCGACGCCAATGCCACAACTTCACCAAGTTATTGCAAAGAAGAGGAGAAAAAAACGCATCCTCAGCCCATGAGAGTAAGAGAACCATGGAGGTGGCACCCGAAGTGGCAGTATCCCTGCCAGCCATCTATGTCCTCTCCAAGCAATCCCCCAGATCCCTCAACCTTACGGTGAAACTAACCACCCTGACCTCCCTCGCGTCAGTGTCAGTATCAGCCCTCCTAGGTTCAGGAGCCACCGGGAACTTCATGAGCCCTGAGTTCGTCCGGAAGCACAAGCTCGAGACAACCCCTCTCCCACAGCCCATTCCCGTCTGTAATGTTGACGGAACCCCAAACAAGAATGGAGCCATAACTGAAGAGCTGGAAGCCCTCCTGACGTTCAGGTGGCACACAGAGCGCACCCGCTTCACGGTTGCAAACCTGGGACAACAGTCCCTCATCATAGGGCACTCGTGGCTGCTACACCACAACCCAGAGGTAGACTGGGCATGACAGAAAGTCATCATGTCCCGTTGCCCGTCCTCCTGTAGACAGCCACGGCACGAGATGACCAGGACCCTGCACTAGAGCCAGGGGATGGGATCTACACTGCAATCATTCCCCCTGGCTGGGGTCATGACCTGAGGGCCACCACGACCCCCTCTCAGCGGATGGCCCAGGAGGCCCATGACCCGGATGCAGAACCCGCATCATTCGAGACGCTGGTGCCAGAGCACTACCAGGACTTCTGGGACGTGTTCTCGAAAGAAGCCTTCGACCAGCTGCCCCCCCCGGAAGCCCTGGGATCTGTCAGGGACGCATCCGGGGTCGAGGCGGTCTGGGCGTAGCGTCCGGTGCTAAGGACCTCATGGGGGGTAGATCAGGTGTGCATACTGGCAGGCCCGATGCGGGACAGCGATCCCTGGCCACTTAGACTGAAGTGGGAATGTTGAGAAGAAGGTTACTTCTTTGGTTCCCACCCCAGGTGTGTTTATATACATGCGGCTTGGGTCACATGAGGTCCACCACGTCACCCCACATACAGCTGCGATCACCCTGGTGTCCCCATGGGGGATCCTGAGGGCGTATGCTGCACTAGGTTGCGCCCTAGAGCCGTCCGGGGCTAGGCATGTCGTGTGCGCATCACAGGCGGGTCAATAATACATAGATATAAGGGAAAGGTCGTCCGTGTGAAATAGAAATAAGAATAGAAATAGAAATAGAAGTGGAAGAGGGATAGAGGGGGAAGGGATATGAAGGAAGGGTGCAGGGTGAGAGAAGGGGTACCGGGTGAGGTGGGCCCGGGTGGAGGCAGGTCAGGCAGGTGTGCCCTGACAGGATCACGCTATAGATCTGGTACCAGATGCCAAACTGCCCAGAGGAAAGACCTTCCCCCTCTCGCACCCGGAGCAGAAAGAACTGGACGAGTTCCTGCACAAGAACCTGCAGAATGGGCGGATACGACTGTCTAAGTCTCCGATGGGAGCACCAGTCTTCTTTGTGAAGAAGAAAGACGGATCGCTACGCCTGGGACAGGACTACCGGAAGCTGAACGAGATCACTGTAAAGAACTCGTACCCACTCCCACTTATCTCAGACGTCCTCGCCTGCCTCCGGAAT